GGATTACCAGTGTGCTACATACCTGGCTCCACATTATTATTATTATTATTATCATTATTATTATCATCATTACTATTGGTATTGGGAATAAAATGGAGGGCCTCATACATGCTAGGCAAACACTGCCATCCAGTCATTTCCCCAGCCTCATATCCCCTATGATTTATATCTTAGTAAGAGAGACATTTGCTATAATTAATGAACTGGTACTGAAACATTTTTATTAGCTAAAGTCTATTCATTATTTTGATTCCCTTGGTTTTGTTTTGCAAGTCTTACTCTGTGTCCCAGGCTGGTCTGGAGCTCCCAGTCCAACTACCTCAGTACTGTGACTGTACACGTCACCACGCCCAGATCCCTACTTTTTTATGTTTCCTCTGTTCCCAAGATCCCTCCTGGTTACCACGTGATACCACATAATAATTCTTCAGGCTTGCTGGTGTCAGTTTCTTAGACTGCTCTTGTTTTTGTTTGTTTTTTGTTTTTTTTTTTTTTGACTAGACATTTTTGAGGAGTACTGGACAGCTATTTTGTAGGAGGCCTTTCAATTGAGATGTATTTGATGTTTTCTCATGATGACTAGGGCTATGGTTATGGAAGACCAGAGGTAAAGTACCTCACTAAGGGAGCATTCCACCAACATGACTGACCACTGTTGGTGCTCACCCTAACTCCCGTAGCTGAGGAAATGTTTGTTAGATTTCTCCACTGTGAAGTGACTGTCCTTACTGCCTTCCTCCTTCCATGCTGTACACTTTGGAAGGAAGTTGCTATGTTTAGCCTGCCATTGAGGAATAGGAAGTTATTTCCCACCTCCTGGAGGGGGTGTATTTGCAAAAATTATATCGAAGTTGTCTGCATATGAAAGTTGTCACATCCCTCTATTTATTTAACCATTTACATCATATGAATTCATTCATATTTATCTGATAGTAAAGGTTATGATCCAATGCTATTTTGGGTTTATTCTTTATCATTATTTTTATTTTATGTGTATGAGTGTATTGCCTGCATATATGTAAGTGTATCAGTGTTGTGCAGTGCCTGCAGAGGTCAGAAGAGGTGTTGGATTCCCTTGGAACTTGAGTTATGGATGGTTGTTAGCTACCATGTGGGTGCTAATATGGAATCCAACTTGGATCCTCTGCAAGATCAGCCAGTGCTCTTAACTGCTGAGTCATCTCTCTAGCCCCAATTGTTTGTATGTTTTGAGACAAGATCTCATTGCATAGTCCTGGCTGATCTGAACCTTACTGTGTAGACCAGGCTGCTCTTGAACTCACAGGGATCTGCCTATCTTTGCCTCCCAAGTGCTGGGATTAAAGGCACACCTTGCTTAATTTTACCGCTCAAATTGTGCTAGCCCTTGCCATTGAGAGCTTTTTTCACTAGACCCTTACAGCCATTTTTTTTTGTACTGGAGATTGAACCCAGAGCCTTATCCATGCTAGGCAAACATTCTACTACTGAGCTACATTCCCAGCCCTAGAATTTTCAAGTAATGAATAAGTGTTAAGGATCATGAGCATAGGGGCTGGGGTTCAGCTGTCATAATGCTTGACTAGAATGCATGAAGCCCTAGGTTCATACCCAGCACTGGGCTACAAGAAATCCTGTCTGGTAAAAAAAAAAAGAAAAGATCAGCTGGGCGTGGTGGCACACACCTTTAATCTCAGCACTCAGGAGGCAGAGACAGGTGGATCTCTGTGAGACTGAGGCCAGCCTGGTCTACATAGTGAGTTCCATGCCAGCTGGGACTCCAGGAGGGAGACCTTGTCTCAAAAAACCAAACAACAACAAAAAGGAAAAAAAAAAAATCAAGAAGAAACTAGTGAGATTTTTTTTAAAGTATTTTATTTATTACTTTTATGTGTATGAGTGTATTGCCTACATGTATGTGAGTGCACCCATGTTCTACAATGCTGCGGAGGTCAGAAGAGAGCTTCAGATTCCCCTGGAACTGGAGTTAAGGATGGTTCATAGCCACCAATAGCCAGGAATCAAACCTGGGTCCTCTGCAAGAGCAGTCAGTGCTCTTAACCGCTGAGCCATCTCTCCAGCCTTGAAACTATTGAGATTTTTTTAAAAGCTACTTCAAGCCGGGTGTGGTGGCGCACACCTTTAATCCCAGCACTAGGCAGAGGCAGGTGGATCTCTGTGAGTTCAAGGCCAGCCTGGTCTACATAGTGAGTTCCAGGACAGCTGGGCTACAGGGAGATCCTGTCTCAAAAAAAGACCAAAAAAGCTACTTCAAAGGAAAACTCAATGAATAGTCTGTATATTGAGAATATTCAAATAAATATGCAAATGGAGGCAAAACTGGTTTTTCCGCAGAAAGGCAATTTGTTATGTGTTCCCAGGACAGTAATCATTTGCATGTCTATGGGTAAGAATAATTTCCCATTGTTATCAATTAGCAACAGTCTAGAGAGATGTGAAATGACTCCCAAAGGGCCCAAATCAGGTAACACAGAAGAAGGAAGTGCTAAAGACAAGACAATTTTCATTCAAGTACAAACTTTCCCTAGATGGGTGATGTGGACTGAAATATGTTCCCCCCATCCCTGTGCTGAAGCCCTAACCCTGAGTGTGGTCTTAGAGGTGGGGCCTTTGGGAAGTGTTTACATGAGGTCCTGAGGGTGCAAGGTGTACAGTGAGATTTTGTCCTCATAAACAAGAAGCTGGGTGTGGTGGTTCATGCCTGGAATCCTTGCACCTGGGAAGCCTAAGCTGGGGGTCTGCCCTGAGTAATGAGACCCTGCCTCAGAAAACCAAACCAAACCCAGCCCTTTTCTCCTGCCTTTCCACAAGTGAGGCCATGACATGACATGGGAAGAAAAGCAGAAGGCAGACATCTGAAGCAAGAAGGGCGTTTTCTGCAGGCATTGCAACCCTTGGCCCCCTAGCCAAGAGAGGTAGAAATGTTGTTAAAGACATGGTATTTTATCACTGCACCTTGAGTTATCTATGACAGATAACTAGTTAGCATAGAACCTGGTAAACAGTAAGTAGTCCAGTCACTTGTCATCCATACTTCTTGTAGTTTCATAATACCTAGTGTCGAAAGGTATTATGGATAGCACAGTGACAGATGTGTGGATAGGTGAGTTGGTCTGAAACTGAGATAACACAGCAAATGTCCCTATTTTTCTTTTTCTTTTAAAAGATTTATTTTTAGTCTTGTGTATATGTGTGGCCACGTGTGGAGTACTGTCCTGGGAACACAGGCTCCCATGCAGACCAGAAGAGGGCATCAGATCCGTTGGCGCTCAAGTTACAGGCATAACTGCCTGATATTGGTACTGGGAACTGAACTTGGGTCCTCTGCAAGAGGAGCAAGTGTTCTTAACATTTTTTAATTTTTCTTGATACAGGGTCTCAATAATGTAGGCCCAAGTTAGCTTCGAACTCAGGATCCTCCATCCTTATCCTTCCTAGTGCTGTGATTGTAGGTGTGAGCTACCATGCCTAGATTCTTTCTTTCTTGAGACAGGGTCTCACTGTGTAGCCCATCCTAGTTCCCACCTCACAAACCTCCTGTCTTAACCTTCCTAGTAATGGGTTTATAAATGTGTACTACCATGTCCAGCACAGCAAATGTCCTTTTAGACATAAATTTTTGGGGCCAGTGAGATGGCTTAGCAGATAAAAGTGCTTGCCATGCAAGCTTAATGACCTGAGTTCTATCTCCAGAGAATCAGTTCCACAAAGTTGTCCTCTGCCCTCCACACACACAGCATACATGTACCTATACTAACACATCATGCACACATACCCACAATAATAAATTTTAAAGAAAATAAGTAGACATAAATGTTTGTATATTCGCTCTTACTGCATCCACTGTTCATGTGCCATTAGAGGGATACTAGCTCTACTATGCCAAGTATATGAAATGGGGAGAAAGAGTGTCCCCTAGAGGGTTCTTAGTCTCACTCATAAAAGAATTTAAAGAATGGACCCAAACAGAAGCTTTAGGACAATTTTATTAGAATTTTAAGGAAAATCCTCTGGGCAGGCAAGCTGGTCATCTTGGCAGCTGCCTTAAGGAGGAGAATGGAAGGGAGAAGAAAGCAAGCCATGAGGGGTGCAGGTTTAGAGCCTGCATGGGGGTCAGACACGTGGCTGACAGGCAGCCACATGGGTGGGAGAAGGAAGTTTTAGAGAAAAAGTAAAGAAATATAAAATGCAGACTGGGGTGCTGGCACACACCTTTAATCCCAGCACTCAGGAGGCAGAGGCAGGCGGATCTCTGTGAGTTCAAGGCCAGCCTGGTTTACATACTGAGTTCCAGGACATCTGGGGCTACAGGAAGACCCAGTCTCCAAAAAGACAGATCTCTGTGAGTTCAAGGCCAGCCTGGTCTACACAGTGAATTCCAGGACAGCTGGGGCTACAGGGAGAATGGTTTTTATAAACTGATGGTTTGGTGCACTGTGTCATGGAAAAAATAATGTGGTAGGAAGCCAGAGAGAAAGGGAAGGTGCTCCGGGAAAACCCTAAAGAATAAAAATGCTAAAAGGGGGGCTGGAGAGATGACTCAGCGGTTGAAAACACTGGCTGTTCTTGCAGAAGACCCAGGTTCGAATCCCAGCATCCACATGGCAGCTTAACAACTGTCCATAACTCCAGTTCCAGGGGATCGGACAGTCTCTTCTGTCCTCCGAGGGCATTGCACGACATGGGTGCACTTACCTACACGTAGGCAGTACACGCATACACATAAAATAAAAATAATAAAATATTTTTTAAAATGCTAGAAGGATGATTATCTGAAATTCAGATTTAGCCAGGGAACTCTATATACTTCTGAAGGAAGAGGGACCATGGACCTGGCCACGTTAATTTGATTGGCTTTTGACCCTGCAAGCGGCCTTACAGGAAAAGGTCTTAGTGGGCTTTAGGCTCAGGTCAGCTGGAGGCCGCGTAGAGGCGGGGCTTCAGCGGGCGGGGCGGGGCCTGGGGTCCGAGGTGGGCGTGCCCTGCAGGGTCCTGCCCCCGTCACGTGCTAACCTGAGCCTGCCGCGTCGGCAGCTGGCGAGTGCGCAGGGCCTGGAGGCTGCAGCTGCAGAACTGGGATAACTGCGGCCCTGCAAAGGGCTCGACTGATGGCGGCGACGGCAGTGGCGGCGGGGACCGGAGGCCCGGCGGGGACCGAGTCGGCGGAGGGCGCCCCGGGGCCGGCGCCGGCGCTGGAGCTGTGGCTCAGTGAGTAGCTGGGTGCGATCCGCACGTGACGCCTGGCTTCCCGCGGCCCTGGCTAGCCCTGCGGCGGGGAGGGTCCTCCAAGGGCTCCGGGGATCTGCGGGGCCCGAGACCTGGCGAGGCTGCCCAGCCCCCCGCCGGCCAACCCCCTTCTCGGTGGCCCCTCGTCGCCCTCCCCAACAACTGCACGCGAACGCCTAGCGATTCCCTCTTTGTGCCAAGCTCTGTGCGAAGGCGTTTCAGCCATTGTTAGTCTTGCTCGCAGACCCTGGAGGAGGCTGCGGTTACTAACCCGCCTGAGAGCCTGAGGTTTAGGCTGAAGGAGACCGAGCCACGGCCGGCCACGCAGCTGCTTCTTGTGGTCCGTTGGGTCCAGGAAGCTTTTGGCTGCTCCACCTTTAAGGGCAGAAGCAGCCTAAAGGCTTCCGTGCTTTTTGCTCTGGCCAAATGTGTGTCCCGTCCTGCTAGTTGCACGGTGGTTTCGGGAGGTGGGGTTCTAGTGACCCTTTTTAATCTGAGAAATTGAGATTCAGAGAGGATAGAGAATTCGCCCCCTGTGTAGGTTCTGCTAGGTCTGGAGGCACCACTATCTCACGGGGGCATTTTTATTGGGTACTTGCGATCCAGAACTGCGCCTTGTTAACAGGAGCTGGAGGAGGGGCGGCTGTTGAGCACTGTAGGTGCTGGTTTGTTTACCTGGGGCTCGGCACGACTGACACTGTGCTTGAGTGGACAGTGGATGAGGCTACATTACAGACAGAGGAAGTTGTTTATACAAAAACTCAGGGCGAGAATGGGGAGCAACCATTCTGGGAGCAAGTAGGCCAGTCAGCAGGAGTATAAATCCGAAAGAGCGGAGAATTCGAGGAGGTTGCGCGCTAATTTGCTAACGGGAGTAGGAGCCCAGACGGCCTGTGTGCCGCAGAAGGGACTTTATATTTTAAAAATTTATTACATTTTTTGGGGGGGAGTTGAGGACTTGCTATGCGCTTGTGGAGGACGACTTGCAGGAGTGGGTTCTTTGCTTAAACCTTGTGGATCCCAGTGATCAAACTTACGACATAAGGCTTGGCCATTTCACCAGCCCAGGACTTTACATTTTAACGCGGGGCGGGGGGTCGGGGGGAGCTGAGGGCGGTTGTTGGGAGAATCCATGATTTAAACTTGATGAAGGCACCACCTGAACCTGCTGAATTGGTTAGAGGGTGAGACCTCAGGCTGGGAGAGTAGATGAAAAGCCTTTTGATAGCTGGGGGCCTGCAGACAGAGTAGACACCAGCAACAGCCTTGCTGCGGGGCACAGGGGTGGACAGTGGCGGTGAGGAGAAATGTACAGGAAGGGTCCCAGGTTTCGGGATTCAGAAGTGATAGTGTTGGATGCCCCACTTGTGAGGAAGACTGACTCAGCAAGAGCCAGTTGCATTGTTTAGTTTGAAGTGCTTGCAGCAGTCAGAGCGGCTCCACGGACGGTAAGAGCTGGAGGTGTGGTTTAGCGGCTGGGTGGGCCATTGGCTGTAGCGCTGAAGAAGAAGATCCAGCTTTGGAGCTGGAGCGTGGGGAGCCCGGAAATTTCCCAGGTAGATGAACCCAGCATCCTGGAGACGCTGAAGACCTAGAAAACTGGGGAGGGGAGAACGGCAGGGGAAAGGGCGTGACTGCTGGTTTGTTGCTCCAAAATGAAAAATACGGAGAAAGGGGAATTTTAAATTTGGTTAAAGGTTATTGGTCTTGTGTTAAATGGTGAGACAGAGACTCGGTAGGCTGTGAAGCGGTGGAGTTGTAGGGAAAAAAAAAATCTATGCCGGGTAAGCAGCAACTGTTGGGTATTAAGGGAGTGTGCCTGAACCGAGACTGTACCAGGAGGGGGCTTCTCCAGCTCCAGCCTGCTTGGGGCAATGCATCCCAAAGTATCTGCATCCTCTGGTTTTTCAGAGAGAGCTAGAACCTTCATTTTTATGTGATATTTCTTAGGTTTTTCAAAATTGGCAACTACTTTCTTTTTTAAAAAATATATTTTGTTATTTTTATTTTATGTGTATGAGTGTATTGCCTGCATGTAAGTGCACCTGTGTCATGCAGTGTCCACAGAGGTCGTAAGAGGTCGTCAGATCCTCCTGGAACTGGAGTTACTAACGGATGGTGGTTAGCTGTCATGTGGGTGCTGGGAACCAAACCTGGTTCCTCCACAAGAACAGCCAGTGCCCTTAACAGCTCAGCCATTTCTCCAGCTCCCATAATCAGCAACTACTTTCAACTACTTTTGTGCTGTGGTGATATAATGAAGGGACAGGGATTGGAAAGCTTCCTGGTATGGTCAGGACGGGACTCTAGTTGAAGAGGAGAATGCACCATGTGTCTGATTAGGGTGGAGAAGAAAGCCATTGGTAGATCTTGCCTACCCCTCCCCCCGCCCGCTTAGAGTGGTTGGCAGGATCAAAAGTGTTTATGTTTTTATAAAGTTCTTAAAAGAGTGCCTTACTGGGGCTGGAGAGATGGCTCAGCGGTTAGGAACACTGGTTGTTCTTGCAGAAGACCTGGGATCCCAGCATCCACATAGCAGCTAACAACTGTCCGTAATTCGAGTCCCAGGGGATCCGACAGCCTCTTCTGACCTCCGTGGGCATTGTACAACATGGGTGCACTTACCTACATGCAGGCAATACAGGCGTACACATAAAATTTAAAAAAATAAAATTAAAAAAAAAAATTTAAAAAAGAGTGCCTTACTATGGTGTGTAGTTAAGTGCCCTATAAACTGGCTTATGGAAAGGAAGGAAGGAAGGAAGGAAGGAAGGAAGGAAGGAAGGAAGGAAGGAAGACCTAGAGTAGGGATGGGTTCAATCTAGGAGCATCATTATGTCACTAAGATTTCATTTCTTGAATTTTCTCTCCTGCTCCTTGCTGTATTTAGGGCAGAAAAACCTCATTTCTCCTATGGTTTAGGAAGTTTATTGTTCTTCTGTCTGTGGATCTGGGTTGGATTGTGTGTGTTATCTTGGAATTAGGAGGACCAAGAGATGAAATAGAAGGCTTAGCAGACCAGTAGGATGGGGTAGTTCCCCCAGAACTGAAGAAGAGGTTAGAGATCAGTCCAGCTGAACTTTGGACCTAGATGAAGAAGGGGTTTCCCAAAGAAGTGCCAGGAAGCTGTTACAGAAACTATGCTTTTAAAATACAGAGGTCAGCTTCTGTGTCTGCTTAGTGCATTTGTTGTTAGGATTAAAATGTTTTTATTGCATTGTTGCAGGTCAGAGGACTGTGGGGAGTTGGTTTTCTCTCTACCATGTGGGTCCCAGGAATTGAACTTTATTATCCTCTTTTACTTTTTTGAGACAGGGTCTTAACTATGCAGCCCTGGCTAGCCTAGATTTGGTATGTAGACCAAGCTGGTTTCAAACTCACAGAGATCGGCCTGCTTATGCTTCCCTCTGCTGAGACTGCATGTGAGAAGCATGGTGCCAGCTATAGTGTGTTTGCTCAGTGTTCCACATGATTGCATGTGGAGTTGCCTAACTCTTGCTAATGAAAAGCCCCATGTGCCCATTGTATAAGTGTACTGTAGTGTAAATTCAGCACTGTAATTCAGTGAACCAACTCCTTGAGTTGCTTGCTCCCTATAGGGACCTTGGTATTGCCAGTCTGGCTGTTTTTTT